ATGAGGTGAGAAAAACTGCACAGGAAATCAAACTTTTTCCTAGCTATGTAAGATACAGTATGTCTATACTTGTGTAAGTGTTTATAAATAAATAATCTGTGTTTAAAAAAAGCTTATGACAATGTTAACAGTGGCTGTTCTTAGCTGGAAACTAAATAACTCATTACTTAATGAAGAATGGATCATCGATGCAATAAAAGAGGAAATTAAAAAGTTCCTAGAAGTCAATGAAAATGAAAACACAACCTACCGGAACCTATGGGACACAGCTAAGGCAGTCTTGAGAGGAAAGTTTATAGCCATGAGTGCATATATTAAAAAGATTGAAAGATCCCAAATCAATGACCTAATGATACATCTCAAACTCCTAGAAAAACAAGAACAAGCAAATCCCAAAACAAATAGAAGGAGAGAAATAATAAAAATAAGAGCTGAAATCAACGAAATAGAAACCAAAAAAACCATACAAAGAATTAATGAAACAAAAAGTTGGTTCTTTGAAAAAAATAAACAAGATCGATAGACCCCTGGCAAACCTGACTAAAATGAGGAGAGAAAAAACCCAAATTAGTAGAATCAGGAATGCAAAAGGGGAGATAACAACAAACACCATGGAAGTCCAGGAAATCATCAGAGACTACTTTGAGAACCAATATTCAAATAAATTTGAAAATCTAAAGAAATGGACAGATTTCTAGATACATATGATCATCCAAAACTGAACCAAGAGGAAATTAATCACCTGAATAGATCCTATAACACAAAATGAAATTGAAGCAGCAATCAAGAGTCTCCCAAAAAGAAAAGTCCAGGACCTGATGGATTCTCTGCTGAATTCTATCAGACCTTTAAAGAAGAACTGATACCAACCTCCTTAAACTGTTCCATGAAATAGAAAGGGAAGGAAAACTGCCAAACACATTTTATGAAGCCAGTATTACACTTATCCCAAAACCAGGCAAAGACACCTCCAAAAAGGAGAACTATAGGCAATCTCCTTAATGAACATTGATGCAAAAATCCTCAACAAAATAATGGCAAACGAATTCAACACATCAAAAAGATTATTCACCACGACCGGTAGGCTTCATCCCAGGGATGCAGGGGTGGTTCAACATACGAAATCAATAAACGTAATAAACCACATTAACAGAAGCAAAGACAAAAACCACTTGATCATCTCAATAGATGCAGAAAAAGCCTTTGATAAGATCCAACATCATTTCATGATAAAAGCTCTAAGAAAACTAGTAATAGAAGGAAAGTTCCTCAACATTATAAAAGCTATATATGACAAACCTACAGCCAGCATTATACTTAACGGAGAAAAACTAAAACCATTCCCTCTAAAATCAGGAACCAGACAAGGATGCCACTATCTTCCACTCCTATTCAACATAGTACTATTCCTGAGCAATTACCAGCAGCGAGAGGCAAGAAGAGACAAAGAAAATAGAAAGGAAATCAAATAGGTAAAGAAACTGTCAAAATATCCCTATTTGCAGATGACATGATCCTATACCTTAAAGACCCAAAAAACTCTACTCAGAAGCTTCTAGACATCATCAATAGCTATAGCAAGTAGCAGGATATAAAATCAACATAGAAAAATCATTAGCATTTCTATACACTAACAATGAGCAAACGGAAAAAGAATGTATGAAAACAATTCCATTTACAATAGCCTCAAAAAAAATCAAATACCTAGGTGTAAACCTAACAAAAGATGTGAAAGACCTCTACAAGGAAAACTATACACTTCTGAAGAAAGAGATTGAGGAAGACTATAGAAAGTGGAGAGATCTCCCATGCTCATGGATTGGTAGAATCAACATAGTAAAAATGTCGATACTCCCAAAGTAATCTACATGTTTAATGCAATTCCCATCAAAATTCCAATGACATTCATTAAAGAGATTGAAAAATCTACTGTGAAATTTATATGGAAACACAAGAGGCCACGAATAGCCAAGGCAATACTCAGTCAAAAGAACAATGCAGGAGGTATCACAATACCTGACTTCAAACTATATTACAAAGCAATAACAATAAAAACAGCATGGTACTGGCACAAAAACAGACATGAAGACCAGTGGAACAGAATAGAGGATCCAGATATGAAGCCACACAACTATAAGCAACTTATCTTTGACAAAGGAGCTAAAAATATACGATGGAGAAATAGCAGCCTCTTCAACAAAAACTGCTGGGAAAACTGGTTAGCAGTCTGCAAAAAACTGAAACTAGATCCATGTATATCACCCTATACCAAGATTAACTCAAAATGGATCAAGGATCTTAATATCAGACCCCAAACTCTTAAGTTGATACAAGAAAGAGTAGGAAATACTCTGGAGTTAGTAGGTATAGGTAAGAACTTTCTCAATGAAACCCCAGCAGCACAGCAACTAAGAGATAGCATAGATAAATGGGACCTCATAAAACTAAAAAGCTTCTGTTCATCAAAAGAAATGGTCTCTAAACTGAAGAGAACACCCACAGAGTGGAGAAAATATTTGCCAATTATACATCAGACAAAGGACTGATAACCAGAATATACAGGGAACTTAAAAAACTAAATTCTCCCAAAACTAATGAACCAATAAAGAAATGGGCAGTGAACTAAACAGAACTTTCTCAAAAGAAGAAATTCAAATGGCCAGAAAACACATGAAAAAATGCTCACCATCTCTAGCAATAAAGGAAATGCAAATTAAAACCACACTAAGATTCCACCTCACCCCTGTTAGAATAGCCATCATCAGCAACACCACCAACAACAGGTGTTGGCGAGGATGGGGGAAAAAGGAACCCTCTTACACTGTTGGTGGGAATGTAGACTAGTACAACCACTCTGGAAAAAAATTTGGAGGCTACTTAAAAAGCTGGACATCGATCTACCATTTGATCCAGCAATACCACTCTTGGGGATATACCCAAAAGACTGTTACTCCAGAGGCACCTGCACACCCATGTTTATTGCGGCACTATTCACAATAGCCAAGTTATGGAAACAGCCAAGATGCCCCAGCACTGACGAATGGATTAAGAAAATGTGGTATCTATACACAATGGAATTTTATGCAGCCATGAAGAAGAACGAAATGTTATCATTCGCTGGTAAATGGATGGAATTGGAGAACATCATTCTGAGTGAGGTTAGCCTGGCCAAAAGACCAAAAATCGTATGTTCTCCCTCATATGTGGACATTAGATCAAGGGCAAACACAACAAGGGGATTGGACTATGAGCACATGATAAAAGCGAGAGCACACAAGGGAGGGGTGAGGATAGGTAAGACACCTAAAAAACTAGCTAGCATTTGTTGCCCTTAATGCAGAGAAACTAAAGCAGATACCTTAAAGCAACTGAGGCCAATAGGAAAAGGGGACCAGGAACTAGAGAAAAGGTTAGATCAAAAAGAATTAACCTAGAAGGTAACACCCACGCACAGGAAATCAATGTGAGTCAATGCCCTGTATAGCTATCCTTATCTCAACCAGCAAAACCCCTTGTTCCTTCCTATTATTGCTTATACTCTCTCTACAACAAAATTAGAGATAAGGGCAAAATAGTTTCTGCTGGGTATTGAGGGGGGGAGCGGGAGGGGGTGGAGTGGGTGGTAAGGGAGGGGGTGGGGGCAGGGGGGAGAAATGAACCAAGCCTTGTATGCACATATGAATAATAAAAGAAAAATGAAAAAAAAAAAAAACAGTGGCTGTTCTTGTCCATGACTTCATGCTTTTCCAAATACTATCTAGAGTTTCCTCAAAGAGAATATGGTATCCTCATAGCATTGTTCTTAGAACATTCTGGACTCTTAGCATTTATTAATAAATGCTGAGTGAATGCTTCCAGGCAGAATTAATGGCTTCTTTGCTTATGCTTCTTTGCTTAGTTTATATAGTCAGTTAAATGGTCTGTTTAGTAGACATATATCGAGTTTACTCTGAAACTTTACAAGGCACTGCTAGCAGAACTTATTATATCCTGGCTGGTTATATTCACATCTATTTATGTATCCAATTAGATTGTGGTCTAGTTGGATGTGGAACTGAGTCTCATTTATTTTATATATTGCCATGGGCTAATATGAGTTGTGATGACATAGCAGATAGTAAGAACATTTTGTGGAGTTGAATTTAAAAAATTCACAAAAATGCCAATTTGGGAACATTAATGGTTCTTTATATTTCATTCCAGAATGTAATAATTAAATCTTACTCTCAGCACATTTATACCCATAGCCTTCAGTTACTCCATGAGTCATATAAACACAGTCTCTGCACCAGAAATACCACATGACTGTGTTCTTAGCAAGGGATAATTCAACTTTAGATTTTTTTCAAGTCCTCTTTATAAGAAAAAACAAACCATGAGGTAAGTGTTTCTTCTTTAAGCTCTGGACCGTCTCAAGCATTTTGTGAACAGGTGGAATGTTCAACACTATACCACTGAAGAAGTTATTTATTCTTGACCTTTACTACAAATAATTTTATGTTTTCAAGTACAGAAGTCACCATTCTCTTATTTTTTTGTCAGATGGCATAAACCAGACGTATTTTTTATTTATAAAAAGTCTTATCCTCTATAAAAAATTCTTAAGCTATTTTTATATACTGATTATTCCTGAAGACAAAATTGCTTTACACTTAAAAGGGAGCCTCAGTGTTGATCAGGAGGAAAGTGTAATTGCTTGCGATCCACCTGCAATGATTTCAAGTAGGTAGGCACGTCTCCAATTTCTCAGAATTGTGCTAAGATCTTATTTGCTATTCTTGCTAATCTGTCTTTATTTGCTGTTACCCAGAACAATAACATTTATTTCTGTCTGGTCTCATTTATGCACAGATATTCAATTTAATTACAAAGATAATCTTACCGGTGACAGGGAAATAGGTGTAGAAAATTGGTCTTTTGGATGAGGCACAGCTGCTATAGAAACAATTTTAAAAAAGCTTAAGATTTTAGAAAAGCTATTATATGAAAAGAATGCTTACTGTTTATTTACTTCAAGAAAGTGATAAAGATTAAATGTGACCATTCCACTAGATAGTACTCCTTCCACAGGATTCCACTGGTTCCCAGGAAAGTGGACTCCTGGTAAATGCCTTGCCATCTTGGGTAAATACCACTCATAAGTCATCATCTGCCAGAGAAATCATATAGGAAACTTTCAATGTATGCACATATGAATAAATGAATAAAAAAAAAAAGAAAGAGTCAAGCTTACAAGTACTATGAAAAGGTTCTCATTAAATGAATGAAAAATGCATTCAAGCACAACTGAGGAATGAGGCACTGGCTACTCTTTTAAGAGTGACTTACACCTTGGATTTTATGTCTCAAGATACGATACCATCCTAGACATCAATACCCAATTTCATTTAGCCTTCATGCATCTGACCAACTGCCTAGATGTCTTTTCCCCATTCTTACGTCTGGAGAATGTATACTCAACTTTCAGAACCACCACAAATATCACCTCTTCTGAAACACCCTCCCAGTGTCTACAGCGAGCATGATGTGCTCCTATAGCACTTTGTACCTACCTCTAGTATAGCTCTAGGCCTACTCCTCACTAGACTGTGAGCTCCTAGAGGGAAGGGATTGTATCTTTTCATCTTTGTGCACCAAGCACATTGTCTGGCACAATTATTTTTGTTGAAGTTGAAATTTCTTTGATGGCCAGACTAGATAACCTAGACAAAATACAGAAATGTATCATTACTCCATTCTCATTCATTTAAAAAGCAAGTATTGCTCACCTAGAATGAGTAAGATATAATCTCTGCCCTTCAGAAGCTCAATCATAATAACTTAGAACTCAAAGGAAAAAACCCTTTTGGTTAAATTATCTGAATTTATTAATAGCCCTTATTTAATTACATATTCTTCTTTTCTTCTTTGCTTGTTTGGTTTTTGTTTTTTGTACATTAATAATACAAGTGTGGTATACCTTAAGCAAACATTGTATTTCCATTTTCCCCCTTTCTCCTTCTACCCTCCTTTTTCAAACAGTGAGTTTGAAAAGAGTCAGGGTCTTGCTACATAGTCCAGGCTGGCCTTGAACTTGCCATCTTCCTACCTCTGCCTCCAGACTTCTGTGGCTCAGGAGTACAATACCACACCAGGCCTTATATGTTATTTTAATTAAAAACATCATTAAAAAATAATTTTCTTAATTCTATACTTTTATATCTACAGAGTCTCCCTTTTCAAAGAAAAGATTCCTACTTATACTTTGAAAGCTGTTAGTTTGGGTATCACCATTTGAGCAAATGCACTTGAATTTTACTTACCTTATTTAAGTCTTTTAACTAGCAAATGACAAATTAATTTGAACCTAAGTATACATTGTAAAACTTAAAAATACTTATTGAAATGAATTTTACTGCCCAATAGTTTTAGCTCTTGGGGATACTGACATTAGTTAAACACCCACTGTATGTTAGCACTAATATTCCTCAGTTGATTTCCGTAATAATCTTATGATTCATGAGGATGATTCTATCAGACACTGTTGGCTGCCCATGTCTTTTTCACTAACACAATCCTGACTTCAATCAGGTAGCTCAGGGCATCAGTGTGCTCAGGTCTAGTCATTCGCCTTTGCTAGTGAGTCTTTTAGGAGTGGCATGTGAAGAATACTGTGGGAGGTCTCCTGGGACTTCTGAGAAACATGTTACTCCCCATAGAAAGATGTGTGTTGAGGGGGAGACAAGAAGTACCTTGCTTTGTTTTAGGCATCCATTTGTAACTATGGAGGAAAGTAAAGAAAAAGCACAGAAAGAGTTGTCCTAGATCACTGACAACATTGAATTACTTGCATCATCAATCCTAAAATCGCTGTCTCCACACTACTTGTTATGTGAGATTAAAAACTCCACAGTTTAATCCACTCTCAGTTGGATATTCTGTTCCTTGCATTCAAAAGCATCCTTCCATTTCATGAATAAGGAAACAGAAGCTCTGAAGGAAAATCATCAGTTCCCATCCTGTGTCAGACCCAGGAAATAACAGGATAAATACCTGAATTTAGGTCTCATTCTCTCTGAAGTCCATGCTTTCTAATGATAGCAGTTGCTATCCCAAACAGGGTATAAAATCATAGTGCACTATCATGTTACCAACAAATAACCAAGCTTTGTCAGAAGCTAGATTGAAGATCAAATCCATTAATCTACATAGATAATATAGATGCAAACTGCTTAGAAGTATGTTTGTAGTTTGCAAAATTTCCATATGGGATGTTTGCAAATCTGTTTATACAGTTTTCTCCCAAAATTTTCATTATTTTTCTAATCAGCACAATTTATTAAATAAGTATTGTGCCTAATAATCTGTTCAACTGAATGAATAATATTTTTTCAAGACTAAGAATTTGTTTCCCTCCTTTCTTCCTTCTTTCCTTTATTTTTTCTCTCTCTCTTTCTCCTGCAAAACAATAGCAAAACTTTATTCAAAGAAAAGGAAAGAATAAGAAAGCTAGAAAGAGAAGTGGTAGGCTAAGACAGGTGGCAGGGAAGCCTCTGTTTTCTTAATGACCACTCTATAAACACTAGACATAGATTTGTTCTTTTTGGTATTTATAGTTAAAATAATAAATCTCATGGTTTAAGTATAATTTTCTAGGTCCAAAAATCATTTTAATGTCATCAAAATTTTCACAAATCTCCTCCTAACATATTTTGTCAGAGGACCAATAAAGTTTATAAAAAAATTCTATAGCAGAACTGTGGTTAATAATGGGTAAGGCCGGGCAGGAGTGACTCACACCTCAGGAGGCAGAGATTAGGAGGACTGCAGTTCGAAGCCAACTCCAGCAAATAGTTCACAAGACCCTATCCCGAAAAAACTCATCACAAGACAGGGGCTGGTGGCATGGCTCAAGGTATAGGCCCTGAGTCCAAATCCCAGTACCAAGAAAAAAAAATGGTGAAATGTTTACTTAACTGCTAGTTAATTTATGATATATTCAGCCTAATTTATTTTAATCCTTAAGCTAGTGGGTAGTGCTAATTTCAGTAGCTGAACCAGATAAATGTGAGAAGAGCTTTTTATTTTGAACCAGGTAAGTGTAAAATAACACAATTTAACAACAAATTTACAATATAATACACATGTTCAGATTTTGTCATGTCAATGAAAGACCTAACATGTTACTTGAATATTACTTGACTCTAACAATTTTTTTTTATGTTGTGCTGGGTGGGGGTACATTGTGGAATTTACAAAAGTTCTTACAATGGATCAAATATATCATACTTAAATTCACCCCCTCCACCGCTCTCCTTTATTACCTTTCTCCCTCCATTCCTGGAATAGTATCTACAGGTATCATTTTTGCATTTACATATATGTACACATTTAAAACATTCAGTTTAAATGAGAAAGAAGCAACACATAATTTATAATTAGTTAAAATAAACAGAAGAATGTGATATATTTTCTACCTAACAATGATTACCATCAGATGTGGTATACACCTGTAATCCCAGCATTCCTCAAGAAGGTGAGGCAATTCAAGAGTTTGAGGCCAGCCTGGAATACATAGCAAGACCCTGTTTCAAAACAACAATAATCAGAATGATTATGCTAGGTACTGGTGGCTCACGCTTGTAATCCTAAAATACTCAGGAGGCAGAGATGAGGAGGATTGTAGTTCAAAGCCAGCTTGGGCAGTTTGCAAGACCCTACCTTGAAAAAATCCATCACAGAAAGGGCTGGTGGAATGGCTCAAGGTGTAGGCCTTGAGTTCTAGCCTTAGTACTGCAAAAAAAGGGGAAAGATTATGAAAATTTACCCAACCACAGCTCAAAAAATGAAAAGAGTTTTATTTATTTGTTTTGGGTCTATGTTGCCCAAGTTGGTCCAAAATCCTGGACTCATCTGGTCCTCCTGAGTAGCTGGGACCACAGGCATGCACTACCACCATGCCTGGCTAAAAGAGAACTTTTAAAAAACATGTTTTAAAATGACTGCTATATTTTAACTATGTTTTTCATATGCTTACTTCTTGATCCACTAATGAAATATCTGGCCTCAATCCCTCGCAGTAATGCATGTAACGGAGAGAATTCCCTGGCAAATCTCCTCTGAGTAAGATGATTGCATCATGAGGCATAGAGTCTAGAAGATTCTTTGCAAATTTATCAATCACATTGTTGGTCTTTTGGTCACAAACACTAAATAAAAAGATTTTAAAAGTTAAGATAGCAACCCTTTGTTACAGTTTTAATAACACTGAACATATTTTCCATGCTACTCCTTTTCCATTGTGCAACCTACATTCAGTGTTTTAAAGTATCCTAATTGTATCCTTTAAGCAGATGATGTATTTGAAAGAAATGCTACTATCTGATAAAAAAGGAGGAGCTAACTGCAAATGAAAAAAAAAAAACCAGCTTACTGTGCTGTTTTATATATTGAATTTATAATCATTTCTATAAAGAAAGGGAATCAGTGTTTTCCCTAAAAGTAATCCAATTTCATTTAACAAAAGTAAGGTCTCTGATTCCACATAGAATTTAAGATAATTTCATGCTAATTCTATTTGCTCCAAAGGAATTTTCAGAAAGCAAAAGGAAATCTGCTAATTTCTAACATAAATTTGTATTACATTTGTATGACTCTCCTGATCCTTCCCATCATTTCCTGTACCCCAAACTACCTGGGTTCCCTGCTCTCATAGAGGCCAAGGAATCTTTAAGGAATGGGAAGGAAGGCAAGGAACAGTTTGAGTCATCTGATTCTCTCTAGACATTACTTGCTATTGGTAACAACAGCACTACAGCTCTTTTCAAGAATGAAGTGGATGTTCTAACTTCAAGGAAAAAAGTGCATGAATTATGACAACTTTCTATGAAAAAAAGAAGAGGAGTATAAGAGAGAACAAGCATTAAAAAAATGGACAAGCAATGTCCTCCTTCTTATTATCAGGTTCGTTAACTAACAGAGCTGTGGAACACTGCCTGAAGTTGAAACACTAGGTTAGCATCACAAAGCAAACAAGTATTTCTAGGAACAGAATATTATCTCCCTTTGCAATGCAACAATGACTGCTTCCTACTATGTATGATTCCCTACTTTGCCATTGATGACTCACATTTTGCCACCAGAAAAACTGCTATCTGTTCCATTTCCCTGCAAATTAAAAAATCCAAACAAGATAAACCACCTAGCCTGTGTAAATATCACTGTGCTGAGCCTGGACTGCCTTAATGACTCGAGCTAAAAGAAGATGGGTTGGGATTAAAAAAGGCTGAACACACTGTCATCCCTTCTTGAGCCATTTATGGAGCTGTGTCTGGACACGTACCCCATCCTACAAGATGTCCTGGTGATGAAACCTTTCTAACACAGCCTCTACCCTGGGATTGTAAAGAATAATAATTTTTTGAAGTTAAGTTAAAAGAGAAAAATTTAATCTTTTAAAAACAAATCAAGCCAAATCTTACTATAAAAAAATGCCAAGGAACTCTTCCACTTTTGTAGGATGTACTGAACGCTGCTGGGATAAATGAACTATGATTTAAGACTTGGCCATTTTTTATGTTACACTCTGACTTTAGTGGTTATTTAAAAGATTTTGAAAAATACATACAATACTAATAGCATAATAAGAGCTAAACTTCTAGAACTTAATTTTAAAATAATTAATATTCTCTACTACAACTGGAAAAGGACTAGGTTATTATCCCAAAGATGAAAACTTTGAAGCAGAAAGTGAGTTATATTAGGGTACAGAAAAAGCCCCAAATCTTTTTAATTTTCTACATAAGTGTAACTTTACATATACTCCAGTATCTCTAGGCTTTTTTGGAGGAAAATATACAAATAGTCCTCATACACTGCCTGAACCCTTGCTTGCAATGGCCTGAAATCACACACACTTATGCTGAGATTCTGGATCAGGAAGCTTAACAATCCCTAAAGCTTAAAAACCACAGTATGCAGACCAACCTGCCTCCCTTCAAGTCTTACGAACCAACAGAAGTTGAAATGAAATAAAATCCTAGAATCTAATCAAATATCTCTGGCTTGAGTGCTATTTTTCAAAAATAATTGTATACTATTACCTATAATTAGAATATATTTGGTAAACTACAAAAAGAGCTGCTGAGAGCCACTCCAGACACTGTAGTCCATTGCTGTGCAGCACCCGGTTCATCTCAGACACAAGTGCAGCCAAACCAATGCCAGCAAGGACAGCCACCACTGCGTTGCTTTGCATCCAGAATCGTTCCACCTGGAAAAGAGACATGCAAACAGTATGCTCATTTGACAAGTTTTTGCCACCAACCAGGTACTTAAATATTTTAAAAATACAGTATTTCCACCTACTTGCTTATGCCTGCTGCCATTTAGACCTTACTAACTAACTTCCCCAGTCTAGCTGCAGGTCATTTTATTTTCCAATTTTCAAGTGTTCTTTCCCAGCTTGACATGTGCATCTCCCTTTTTGGATCCACACATTCATCTCAGTACTGCAGTCTTCATCAGTATGTAGGGTGGAGGAAGAAGAGAAATGTGGAGAAGCTTTGCCCATCTCTACCCCTCACCCTTTACTTCTTTCGCTGAGATGGTAGGGACTGACTTCCTAAGGAGTCAGCAGCTGTGCACAGTCCTTCCTTTTCCTCTCCCTTTCCCTCCAAAGTGAGCTGTCTCCAGGAAACAGTTGTCTATGGCAGACTCTGTCCCTGTGGCACCAGTAGGTGGAGGTGAGGTGGGGTGAGGCCTGCCCTGTGAAGCACTGCCCACAGGTCTGTCCATTCTGGAAGACAGCATGAGGAAGTCCCCCTGCCCACTGACAGACGCCACATTCTCCAGTCTCAGTGTTATCAGTAACAAAGGTGATTCTCCCACCCATCTGCGCTGGTTCATCGTGTTTCTCAATTGATTCACAATGCAGATGAGCAAGTAGGGTATTATTTATTTGGGATCCTAAACATATACACAAAACCACCAGCTGGTTTCAGCTGTCAAAAAAAAGAGCTATCTACATTTATAGAGTTTCTATTATATGGAGAAGAAATGGCTTCCAGGGAAGACGGAAACACAGATTCTCTTTTTGCACAGGACTGGGATTGGTGAGGTAGTAAGAGAATATGTTGGCAAAAGCCATCCCTCCTACCTTCCTGAATAATAACTCATATTTCTTCTGCTATCCTAAAAAATATCCAAGTGAAATGCATTTATATCTATATTTTCAAGGACACATACACAAATTAGTCTATTGAATCACTCTGCTAACTAAATATTGCATGTTTTTCCTCTAAAAAGGTCTTAACCTTAATGACTCAATAATTTAACTTTTGATTTATAAAAATATATATACAATATTAACTATTTCTGAAATAATTTGCTCTTTCTACAAGGTTCATGAAAGACAAATTTGTGTAATTTTCACAAACTTTCAAGTTAAAAGACATATCTAAGTAAAACTTACCACACCCATAAAAAGCGGTTTTGAAATATCTAAGTTTGCCCTCCAAGCAAAGAAAAATGAATAAATGCAGAACATTCCAGTAAAAAGCCATACTAGCGATGGATTCTGCCTGTTCCTACAAAAGAATAAAAATATGCCCCAAATTACCTATATGTGTATCAATAATAACACTACATAGCTTTAAGCTATAGGGGATATTTTTAAGTGTAAAATTTCCATTTTTAAGAAAAAAGAAAGATCTGAGTTTTAAAAATCTACATTGGAAATAGCTAACACTAATAGTGACACACTTGAATTACAAATTGTAAACAATTTAACTTGAAATTAAGCAGCAAAGAATATAAAGTTGAAATTCACAGAAAAAAATACAAAATCTTGCTAAATTTGAAAAGTAATCAAGCATGTGCAAAGTAAAAGTGTATTTTCATGTTCAACATAATAAAGGTTTAAAATAAAAAATCTCAACGCTGGTGAGAATTCAGTAGAATGAGAAAACATGTCAGTATAATTCCTGAAACAGTTAATTAGATAATGTATCAAAAGCCATAAAAATACTCACAATTTGATATGCAGGCATAAATCTTTAAGTAATAACTAGAAATGTGAATAAACATTAATCCGTGAAAGTATTTTAGTATTAGTACCACTTATAACAGTAGAGAAAGTAGAAGCAGTGTAACAGGAGAACATCTACAGTAATGCCCAGGGATAGCTGGATATATATGGCTCAGCTGTAGACTAGCTGAGGGTCTAGTGTGCATAAGGCCCTGGGGGTTCAAGCCCCAGCCCCAAAAATAAATTGAAAAAAATTTAAATATAAATAGTTTCTTCTATGGTCATAGAATAAAATACATTATACAGATATTTAAATGATCTTAAGTATTTTTTTGGTATGGGAAAATGTTAACAATATAATGATAATTGTTAGCAAGCAAAACTATAGCTATATGTACATTTATATACAAATACATACTTTCAACAGACCAGAAAGTAAATGAACAAAAAATATTAATGGAGGCTAATGGTGCTACATTTTTAAGGCTTTTTAAAAAAATTATTATCAGAGAAACCTAAGTAGTTGTTTGCTTCTTTTGTAAATCAACAAAAATAATTAGCTATGGGCAAGGGACCAAATCAGAGGTTATAGGTCATCAAATGACTTGTTTGCTTTGTCATAATCTGATCAATTTTTCTTTTTTTTCTTTTTTTTTTTTTTTTTAGTGGGAATGAAGTTTGAACTCAGGGGTTCACGAGTGCAAAGCAGGTGCTACCTCTTGAGCCACACCTCCAGTCCATTGTGCTCTGGTTATTTTGGAGAGGGGGGTCTCCTGAAGTATTTGCCAGGGCTGGCCTTGAACCTCGATCCTCCCCATCTCTTGATTAATTTTTTGAAATCACTTATTTATAATCAGAAGATAAAATAAATGCTGGGTGCTGGTGACTCAGGCCTGTAATTCCAGCTACTAAGTAGGCAGAGATCAGGAGCATCGAGATTCAAAGGTAAAAAGTTCACAAAACCCTATCTTGAAAAATCCTTCACAAAAATAGGGCTGGTAGGGTAGCTCAAGGTGAAGGCCCTGAGTTCAAGCCCCAGTACCATAGGAAAAAAAAAAAAAAGAAAGATAAAATAAGACACCAAGAAAAGAATACATAATTGCCTTTAAATATGAAATACGGGCAATGTTCTATATTTAAAATATGAATTCAATTCATGAACATGGGTAAAGCAGCAGGAGAAGGAATTATAATACTCACTTTCTTAACAAACACATATTTGCCCAAACTGCGAGGGCTTGGGTATTGAATGAGAGTTCAGTCTTCATATTGGTTACCTGAGAGCTGTAAAAGACAACCTTATTGTTTGTAGAAAACAAATTTGTAATTTCCAAGGAAAATATTCTTTCTAGGAAACATTTGATTATGCACTGAACCATTGTAAGGACTGGGCTGGAACTGTAAATTATTTTGTCTTCTTTTAAATCCAGGAGAAAAAGTACCATAGAAACAATTAAACAATTCTAAGATGTTTTCCAATTATACTATTTGGTTACCAACCTATATAAATCAAGATAGGAGAAGGATAAATAATTTTTCACATTGCTATACTGTATAGAATATTTACAATCAGTTTGGTAAGAATTTGTTTGAAAGGGTTTTTGAATTTTTCAGTTGGCAATTAAAATCAAAATTAATTCAAATAGTTTTCTGGAAATTGAATCATGAAGGAAAAACCAAAGACCAAGAAAATGGATTTCCAACCATTCTTTTCTAGATTATACTCTTCATTAGGAGGCTTCCTTATTTTCTACATTATTTGGTTTGGAAAATGTTTAAGCAATCTCAGAGAAATGTACTCTTTTTTCCTAAACTAAATTCTTCCATTAACTAATAAGCATTCTTCGAGTGTTATCTTAGTCCTAAGATAGTCACTGCCGTAGCAGTCTTTTATTTCTCAAAAAGACATGGCTCTATATACCATCTCAAGAAACTTTCTTCTCCCTACTGGCAATTTTACTGGAGAAAACGTGATGCCGTAATTATGGAAACCACACAATGTGTAATGAGTCTTACTAATGAAGACTCATCTACTATGAGAAGCTATCCTAACTCATTTGCAAACACACTTGAAAAATTGACTCCAGCATGACGCCCATTTCTTCAAAAGAAATGAAGCTGATCTCAAAATTAATTCTTAGAGATCTGTTGCTTAAATGTAAGCTTTAAAAGATACTCACTGCCTAAGGTTAGATTCAATAATTTCCTTGTACAGGATTGCAATTTAGAGATATACATGGGGAAAGAATTTAATTTGCTCAACTGAAAAAGGGTAAATGATTAAGTTCCATCATTTTGAAGGATTTTCTTTAAGTTAATTATGAATTGCCTTATTCAACACTCCTGTCCACCTCAAACAATTAAAGACTAGAAATTTACTCAGACACTGCTAGGATTATGCCTCCATTCTGCTTGATGATTTGGTTCCAACAAACAGTTGTGGGTGTGAGTGGTCATCACTTCTGTCTTGTCATTTTTGGGGGGATATAAAATCTAACAACAATTATTTTCATGTAAGTTCTCCCATTAGATAACTATTAAGTGAAACTAATACAAGTTGGATATATCGTCTAGGATTACTCCTGAGAGTTTTTTGGGCTCATGTGGGATTTGCCAAGGAAAAATAGAACAGCATTCCTGAGTGGTTTAACAATCTTGGGATGGTAGGAAGAAAAGAACAGGCAGTGACTCTTTCATGGAGTAAAGCAGAGCACAGTGAAAACCTACAGCTGCTGATGGAGATGTCTTTACCTTTAAAAGAAAACTGAGTTTCTGCTATCTTCTTCCCGACAAAAAAGAAAAAGAGCCATAAAAAGTTTCAGTTAGACATTCAGAGAGATATCTAAAATCAATTGTGGGAACCATACATAAGGTTACATAGGAATACTGATGGCAGGGAAGTATTTCCAAGACACACTGTAAGTGAAAGATAGTAGGCTAATAAAAGTCTACACATTATAAATCCAATTTTTAAAACACAAAATATAAAAAGATTAGAAGAAGATAGAGAAAAATGTTAAAGAGGAATAATAGTGGCTATCTCTATATGTTGGAATTATAGGTTACTTTAATTTTCTAATTTGCTTACTTATATTTCCCAAATTTTCTATAATTATGTATCTTTTTTGGAGTAGGGAAAAAGTCATTTAAAAAGAAAGAAAGGAAAAATGGAAGGAAGCAAGATGGAAATTGTGAAAACCTATAACTTGCCTCACATTATCAAGTTGAAATACTCTCCCCACTTTCTTTAGATAGCCCTAAGAGTTCCAAACTGGTAGAACTGATGCTACAGATATCTATTTTATTCCAAAATTTTATATATTTAAAGTGTTATAATTGGTATTGATATTTCAAAAGTTGATATAGATTTTTTTCAAGTTGTTTTAATTTGTGTGGGTTTGAAAGTAAATATTAACTCCCTTTTAAAAAAAATATAGCTGGAATATATTTGCATAAACTGGCTCTAATAAATTGGATGTTAAAAATATTTAAGTCAAAAATAGGGCCTACAGGACAGCCAGAATGAAGTCATAAGAAATATTAAATAAATTAAGCTCTGAGAAGTTAAATAAGCATATTTTAAACCAAAATAACACGAAAATTGTTCAAATCATGCTAAATACAATGTTATACAATGTCTTTAAAAGAAAGACATTATTAAAAACTAGAACAGCAGAATAATTTTTTATAAAGAAACACTACATTAGGTAATTTTCTATCCAGTTAAAAGTTGAAACATTTCAGTTTTATAGTCTTTTCATTGTTGTATTCACTGCTTACTTTAAGCTTTACCTTACTAAGTGAAATGCTAAAATATCTGACAACACAGTATATGTAAACAACATTAGTTATTGAGGTGAAACTACTTCTGAGATATACTTCTTCAGAGAGGCACTCAAATCTCTAAAAATCATTTAAAAGAGACAACAGAATTCATTTTAAAAATAGCTTCAAATATTTCATACTCACAGTAGTATTTTAGACATACTGGATCCTATTTCAGATTTTGCCTAAACATAAAAGAGAAAAGTTTATTTGCACAATCATTAAACTGAAGCTTTGCTAGGCTGTTGTGTGTGGGTTTTTTTTTTTTTTTTTTGGTGGTACTGGGGTTTGAATTCAGGGCCTCACACTTGCTAGGTAGGCATGCTACCACTTGAGTTACTCTACTAGCCCTTTTTGGGTTGTGTGCTTTTGAGATAGGGTCTTGAGAACTTTTGCCTGGGCTGGTCTTGAACTGTAATCCTGATCTCTGCCTCCTCAGCAGCTAGTATTACAGGTGTGAGCCACCAGCACCTGGCTGTTTTAATGTTCTTGATTTAAAAAACACGTTTTTAAATAAACAATGCAATATCTCTCTTTATTCCATCTTTGGAGCCTGTTGATTTTTTAAAATCAGTTAACTAAATCAGGAAGAATTTTAGAAATAATTGGCTAAGTCGGTTGTAAACTATGTCAGCAGAAGTGATTAACACATTAATGAATTACATTTTTTACAATTCTGTTATAGACTCTCTTTATGTTATTTTTTGGTAATATTATTAGAGTTATTATGACCTAAAGTCCATAATTTCACAATGATGTGTCAATATAAAATTCAAGTCAGGAAGGGTCCATAACATATAGTCTTTATTTCCAACCAATATAAGTAAATGAGAGCATAAATTAAAAGTATCAAACACTCTAATTCAAAACCAAAATTAGTAAGTATTCTTTTATTAATCTATTTTAATATGAAATATTTTCTGGATGTTATATTCATATGGATATATACAATGATATTTAAGGGATAAAGAACTTTAAATAAAATCTATAGACTCATCATTCATTAAAAAAAAACAAAACCTCATCAACCATAAAGTATCTCACAAGATCCTTGCAGGCCTCTGCTTCTTTACCTCCTCCCCTCCCCATCCCCCCAAGAGACAACTACTGCTTTGAATTTGGGATTCTTTATTCCCCTAATTTTTTTTTTTTTTTTTTTTTGCAGTACTAGGGTTTGAATTCAGGGCCTTGTGCTTACAAGGCAAGTGCTCTACCACCTGAGCCACACCTCTTTTTCATTTAGGCTATTTTTTAGCCTTGGACCATGATCCTTCTACTTAGGCCTCCTGAGTAGCTATGATGATAAGCATGTGCCACCAGGCCTGGCTTATTTGTTGAGATGGAGTCTAACTTTTTGCCCTGGCTACAGTCCTTCCAATTTTTGCCTCCCAAGTGGCTGGGATTACAGGCACGAATCTCTATGCACAGGCCCTCCCCTATTTTTTAGAAATACAGGTTTACTGTTTAAAACAGTAGATTATTTAGTTTTGGGGAGGTTTAGAATTCTGCATAAATAGTATCATATACTATGTACTCTTCTGAGATTTATCTTCTTAAGCAAGACAGTACAAATCATGAAAGAAAAACCCAACATAATTGTCTATATTAAAATATCTTCTGTTTGTTCTTTCTTTTTCTGGGTAATCTTTATTGCAACTACATTTAATGTGTCCCCCTAATGTGTCCTAGGGAAAGCAAGGCCTTCTGCAGTTTTTTAGAGCATACTGTTTCCATTTAGCAAACTCATCATTTATGAGGAATTTTTAGATAGGTCTTCAGTTTCAAACTAAATGGTAATATAAACACAATGTATAAAATAGACTTTTTAAAAAGGAAAAGTTAAGCCAGGTATACTGTGGTGCATAGCTGGAATCCCAGCACTTAGGAGGCTAAGGCAGGAAGAATATGAGTTCGACGCCAGCCTGGGCTACACAGGAAGACCCTGTCTCAAAACACCGAAGAAATGTTTTGGTTATGGCAAATTAAAAATTTTGAGGTTTTTTTCTTCAATTTTTTCCAAATATTTTTATTCACAGATCAAGTGCCCACGTGGCACCCAAGGCTAAGAAGACTAAAACGCTTCAAAAACAGAGAACAGGCTCCTTTTAATGGTTATCATCCTGAAAAGTGTTTTTGGGATATACAACAGCAAGAGGTTGGATCAAGTGATTCTGACTTCTTTTTAAAGTATGTTAAGGGCCACATTCCAAGGGACAAGTTTGTTACATAAACAACTAAATGAAAATCCTATCCACTGTCATTGATAAAAAAACACTAAAGTTTTACCACTTATTTCCTTAGAAGAGCTTTACATATAAGTTTACCAGGCTGAATGTTCCATATTCTTCCCTGAGAAAATGTGTCAGAAATCCTCGCAGTGTTGTCTGGTCCCCCCAGGTCCAGCGGGCATGGTTGAGGTAAGATGAGATAGGAAGGTAGATATAGGGCAGCAAACCAGCAGAGAAGGACAGACTCAACTTCAGCAAAGAGCCCAGGGAGAGTTCCTGCATCAGAACACATTGTGTTGAAGAACAATATTTATTTTAGTCCATTCATCCTGAAACTTCAAGAACACATCAGGGAAAACATCAAATACGTTTGCTCAGAGCTGATCTCTCAATTTATATTAAGTCACTACAGAATACAATGTTAAACCCTTTGATTGCTGTGGATTACTAGAAAATTGAGTCAGTCTGAACTCCTTTCCATGGCAGGTGAAATATGAGTGAAGTAAATAATATTAGCAAAGACTCATAAGTATTAGGTTTATTGCATCTTTTACATTTAAAACCATGTCATGACATGCAGCATTGCATAGCTGAGCTAACCCACTTGGAAGTGATTAGGTGGTGTTTGGCTGATTTTGAGTATGCCCCAAATACTATTCTAATACCAATGCACTTCATCACTATTAGGACTAGGCTTTAACTCTGTACTTTATTACAATTATACATGGCAATATAACTTTTTCAGTAAGGACTTTGGACATTTCATGGAAATGTTTGATACAAATCAAACTAGCTTTTATATAACCCCCAAGCTCAAGCTCATCCAATTTCCCCTCCTCAATTTACATTTCAGATAGAATACTAAAGGACATTTTGTTATCTGTAACAATGTTGTCTCACATACCTTATTGTATACTTCTCATATGAACATTTCTAAAATAAAGGACAATACTGACAATGCTTTATAAAGACTAAGTCCAAAAGAATGTGGATTCTGGTATACTAGAGAGAGTCAAATATCGGTTGCTTTAATAACTGGGAAAGAGGATCTCTTGAAACGTAATTGGAAATTGCCAATTTTTCCTTTACGAAAGAGAATTTATCTGTGAGAAAGAATGTAAGAACCAAGATTTGTATTTATGAGAAGTAGAACAAGCAGCTGATTTGTATTAACATCTTCAAATAAACATTCTTAATCGAAAATGAAGAGTTTTTATTACAGTACTAATTTCAGGTGAGATTTCTATTGCAGCATGAGATGCATAAATCATGGCATGCATAGAGTGTAGAAATATCTAATCTAACAACATGCCTTTGCTATTCTTAAAGTTGTTCATGGTTTTAAGGAAAAGAAATGCTTATATTTTGGTAGTTTCTGTGCATTATAAAGTTGATTTTAGAATGGTAAGATGTGGTTGCTGCAGAATTTTCCTTTTGTGTGAGAAATAAGCAGGACAATTACATGAGAGCCATTATTGAGACTGAGCAGTGGTTCTCTTAGTCCTAGCTGCACACTGGAATCTCCTGGAGAGTTTTTGTTTTTGTTTTTTTAAACAGATGTCTGAGACTCGCATCTGATCAATTACACCAGAATGATTTGAGGGTGACATTAGTTTTCAGCATAAATTCACATATTTACCTATGTATGTATGTATATAGAAGCATACATATACATATGTATACATGTACCTATTATTACTAGGCATGTGCACACATGTGTGCAAGCACACACACACACACATCTTTAAAAACTTTCCAAATAATTAAGTGAGCAGCCAGGGTTGAACTCAACTGACTCAGGACTCCTTTCTCTGTCTCAAATCACCTCACAGCATGATCCAACACTCCTGGCACTTCATTGATATAACCTATTTTCTAGCCTCTGCTTGCTATTTAAATAATGGAAATGCAAGAGGTATGCTGAAGAGTCGTGGTTCTCAAAGTTTCTCCATTAGTCAGTAGCTTACCTCAGTACAGGGCAAACAGGCAAATAAGCCAGGTACAAGTAGCTCAGACCTATATTCCTAGCGACTCGGGAGGCAGAGATCAGGAGGATTGGGGTTCAAAGCCAGCCTGGGTAAACAGTTCTCAAGACCCTATCTTGAAAAAACCCAACACAAAACAGGGTTGGCAGAGTGGCTGAAGTGGCAGAGCATCTGCCTAGCAAGCATGACGTCCTGAGTTCAAACTCCAGTATCACCAAAAAAAAAAAAGGCAAATAGACTCAGTCTAAGTTCCTAATTTCTCAACTATGAGTCATGCATGTTTTATACAAAGTACATGGCTCTCTTTTGAATCAACACATCAAAATACTAGCAATTTAGGTTCTTCCCAGAGGATGTGTCTTTATTATATCTGTTCAGATCAGAAGCCTGATATTAGACTCAGGTATGTTGTCCATCCACTCGATCTGTGGATCCACTGGTTCTGGAGAAAAATAGTTGGGCTTCCTTAGTTTCGTATTTCATAAAAAAATCTTTGCTGAGTTGTGCTTTTTTTTATGCTATCTCTCCTTCTGGTGACCCTCTCCCCTTCTTTTGAGATAGCGTCTTACTCAGGCTCGTCTCAAACTCTCAATTCTCTTGCCTCGCCTCCCAAATGCTGGAATTATAGGGATACACTACCAAATCCATTTATATCTCCTTTTCTTTATTTTATAAAAGATCATATAAACAACTTCGTGTATACTCTACCAAGCCTTTCTTAAAGACACTGCCCATTAGGCTGTTTAATATCCCCTATGTAAGGTTTGCATGATTGACTTCACAGAATTCAATTCCAAGAAAAAGTTGCTTTCCTGTCAATTATTATTTCCCTTTTATTTACTTTTTAATCACATAATAAGAATTTTTATAATCTCCATGTTACCTACCCTTTTTTGCTTTGTTGCCAAGATTCTAAGAAAAAAAATGTGTTAAAAGTACAGTAAACACAATTATCCAAAGCTTTGGATAATTATTTCCTTATTTCTACATAATAATTTTATTAGGTTTTATGTGTTTTCTGTTACAATTCTGATTACAGCTGGGTATAATTAGCAAATAATAAAATAACAAATATAGCTAAGTTTGTTCACAAACAAACAACAAAGTAAAATGGCCTCAGTACTAGCTTTGTAGCCAGACTATTTTACCCTCTAGGAGGAAGCTGATAGAATAAAGGACATTATCCTCCCAAGGGTTTATGTCTAACTCAACTCTCAGACATTTCCTTACCTAATCTTCCAATGCCTAACAAAGTAAATTTTCCCAATGCCTAACAAAGTAAATTTTCCTGTATTGCTCTCTACTGCCATTTTAATAAACTATAAGTTTTGTCTTTCAGAGAAAGACAAGAGGAAAATAAACAATTTTTTTAGTTTTAAGGAAACATGTTCTGAGAAACGGGGGCTGTTATTTATCAGATTTCCATGCACTCCCAATGTTGTCTATTACGTGTTAAACCTCCAGCACTTGGGGCAGGCACTCAACAAACAGTTAACAGAATGAATACAGCATTATTAGCATACCATTCTGTGCCTTAAAATGTGTACTCAAATTATTAAACAGATTTGATATTGTTGTTTTAAGTCTTTTTTTTGTATTTTCATTGAGAGGCTGTTCAGAATCATGCAGGAAATTATGAAAGAGGCCAGATGCCTCTATAATCAGTACTGCAGAATTTTGTGAATCCTCTTTTTTCAGTCAATATTGTTAGAGCTTAAGGTCATTTATGCTTAACACAAAACTCAAGAAAAATTAAAGCCCCAAGTTTTCTGATGATACAATGTTTACTTGAAATATTAAGAATTTTAATTTTTACAAAATTTTAAAACCTACCTTCTCTTTTAAAAGCCGAAAGAGAATCCAAGGTATTATGCACAAAATATAGAGTATTATTGTGTGCTGATTACATAAGCTAAGGCCACAACAGAAAGCACCAATTTTTGCTACCTGAAAATAAATAATATAAAACTAAGTTAAAAATTTACCTAAAACTCTAAACATAATGGTAAAAAGCTACTTTTAACATAAAAACCAAGCATTTGTATGATAGAGCAGGTTAAAGTCAACCTCCTAAATGTAAATGATTATACTTTATGTTTATCACCATTATTTTTGTTAATGCTTTCCTTCTTATTGAGCAATTGTCACCTTATGGTGGCTAGGTAAGTCCACCTAGGTAAGTAATAGGATATTGTGTAATTCTTACTCAAGTAAAATCTATAACTGAAGTTGAGCAATTCTATTTTACTTTTTCTTCTACAAAATAAATCTGGTTTATCTCTGTTTTGCTTTCTTTGAACATGCAATTTGTTTCATAATTCATAAAAGGTTCTCTCCTTAATCAATCTCTAGTCAAGATCCTCTGAACTTTCTTCTCAAGCAGGCCCATATTTTTGACCTTCCCTGTTCACCTGGGTATTGTCCAATTTTAGCAAGAATCCTGCTATGGCAGTTTAGCCAAAATCCTCTACCCCCGATATTTATCAGGGTCCTCATCCTCTGCCTTCCCCAGGTAATGTCTGATCACCCTGGCCTATCTTCAGCATTAATCCTGTTATTTTGGTTTAGACAGAATTGTCCTTTTTGCCTGATGTTTTCTCTCAGTAATTTTCTATCCACTGATAGCCTACTCCTTGGCCATAAATTCCTACTTTTCCTTTTTGTATTTCAAGTTGAGCCTGGTTTCTCTCCTCTACTACAAGATCCTAACACCTGAACCTGAATAAAGTCTGCTTATACCTTAACAAAGGTAATGCATAATTTTTTCTTTAATATCAGAAGAAAAAAAGGTTATTTTGAATAAAACAAAAATTTCTAAGAGCATCACAGATTTATTTATGGGAACCAGAAATAAGTTATGATATCCTTTTGTTTCTGTATCTTTGGTAACAAGGCTGCCTATACTAAGATGGCATGGCATCTTCCAATGTAAACACTCTTAAACTCCTAGAAGGCAGGGTTCTTTCATGCTTCTAATGATTCTCATAAACATGTCTGCCTTACAATCATTGCAATCTCTTCTGAACTTTGTTTTTTAATTTGATGCTCTTCTAGTTAAAAAAATTTTTTACAAATTAATCTTCTTTATTATTAGGGAGTAAGTCAATGTACCACAGTGGTATATAATTTAAGGTGATTAATAGAGAACTTGGCACCTTACCATGACACACACAAACAAGTGATAGTGAATGAACCAAAAAAACCTATCTCTGCCTCAGAACTCATAGGGGCTTTCATAATCTCCTTATTCTCCAAAAACCCTTCTAAACTCTGAGGGAAAAAAAGTCCCATGTTTCATGAGGGCTATTGTGGTTCCATTCACTATAGAAGGACTGAGGACATTCTCTCTCAACATGTCTGGATTACCTTGACAGTGATCAGAATAAACAGTGTCTAAACCAAAGTTAAAAGAAACACAGTATTTGTATAAAACTCAAAACAAAAAATGATTTCACTTTGATCAAAACAGGTTACCTTTGATCTCTCCTTTGCAGTTGCTGCCTCCTCAAAATGTACAGTAAGAGCCATAAGCAGCCCCACAAACAGATTGTTTAAGCTAAAAACCTCTGCTGCAATGGACCACTGCCATGTTAGACGAGAAAATGAAAACACCCCCGCAGCAAGGATTCCTCCAGCATATGAGCCAGAAAGTCTGCAAATATAGATAACATGAAATCTTCTTTCACAATAAAAAGAACTGACTTTATTTTCCTATTCACAAACTGTACCAGCAGAAATTATGACAGTCACTCAGCACTCTTCCAACACATTATATGGTTAATATATTAATTCATGTAATAATTTCTTCTTTCACTGGGTATTAATTAAGAAGTCCACATATTAACATACTGATGAATGAAGGAGCAAACCTCTGGACAGAATGAGGTTTAAGTTCTCAGATGTTAAACTCTAGAACTCAAGCCAGTTTGGAAAACATGAAGAGATAATAGCTAGAGATAACAAACCTTGGTCATTTTCTTGCTACATCCATGAAGGAGGAGAATGGTCTTAGTTAAGACTGAAATAGTTTAACTATGAAAATCAATGAAATGGTAAAATGTCTATTCAGAAACACTAATTATCATGTCTCATGGAATGTTTGGATCCAGGTGCTTTCTATCTTTACCTCCCAGCATAACACAAAGAATGCTTGGTCACAATATCTGACAATCTTAAGAACTTATACAGCTAAATTCTCACTATTTTTTTTGTGCTTTAGACAAATTTTATTACAAATGACATATTTTTAAGGTGGGGGATGGGAATATGAATTTCATTTCCTTTTGCTTTTTTTTGGGTGGTTCTCTTTTTATTGTTGTACTGGAGATACATTGTGACATTTACAAAAGTTCTTACAATCTATCATGGTTGAATTCATCCCTCCATCATTTTCCTTTATCTCCCCTCCCCTCATTCCTGGAATAGTTTCAACAGATTTCGTTTTTCATTTTCACACATGGGTACATAATATTTCCATCATATTTATCCTCTCACACAGTTTCCTTTCCTCCCCCCACCCCACACTGCTAACAACCCCACAGACAGGACCTGTTTTGCCTTCCTGTTGTGTTTTTGAAAAAACATGACGTTGTTTATGATAGCTATACAGGGTGTTTCATTGTGACATTTTCATGTATGTATGTATTATACCTGAATTGGATCAACCCTTCTTCTTCTTCTTGTTTTTTTTTTTTGGTGGTACTGGGGTTTGAACTCAAGGCCTCACCCTTACTAGGCAGGTGCTCTACCACTTGAGCCGTGCCCCAATTTGGGAATAAGAATATAATATGAATTTCAATCATACCAAAAATATCAAATATTATACTTCGAAACAAATATCTCATACCAAAATGCCAAGAAGAGCCATTAATTTCAAAGCCAAATTAGAAATCTGGATCTCAACTCAGATTTGATTTGAGAGTTGGTAATGTGGCTAATATACTAGAGATACTAACCTCAAACAATTCCAACTTTACTGTAAATCTGTAAATACAAAAATCAAAACAATTACTGAATATTCCTAACAGTGTTAAGAACTTCAGCATTATTGTGCCTAATAATTATGATGCTGACTGGCTTTAAGTCATTAATTTTCACTGAATTGTTTTGTATAAAAATATGACATAATTATCTGGATTTTATTCAACCATTACAGAAATGGCTGACTCAAGAGTATACATAACTGAAGTACAGAATGAGTTTGAAATATCTTGTCAAAACACGTAGTAAAAAAAAAAATTAACAAGTCCCTTTTTTCAAATAAGGAAACTGAGGCCCAGAGAGGTCATGTAACTTTTCTTAGGTCCTGTGGCAATTAAATGACAGAGCCAGGACTCAAATTGTTAGCATAACTTAACACCACCACATTGTGTGTCAAAAGATGGGTGTTTTAGTTTTAATGTCAAATAACTTGTTCTAGATTAATGATCAATTGTACTTTGATTAAATATGTACCTCCTCTAGTAAACAGTAAGCTAGAATAAAGATTTGTTAATTAATAAAATTGCATTTATTTCTATGCAATATCAAACCAACATACTACAAGCTTCAGTTGTATTCAAAAGTCAGATTTTAATTTACATTTTTTGAAAGGACAACTTGTCAAAGCTTAAAACCATCAAATAGTTAATTAAAGGGAACCAAGAAGGAAGTCCTGATATAAATGAATCCTCAGGAAGAAAATTCAAGACTCACTAATCTATGGTGTTTTTAAAACACATTACTGCTCTCAGAAAGACATCCCAAAGTATTTGAAGTGTTGACATTAATTATTGGAATTATGCTAACTGCCTTTTCAAATATCTCATGATGTTTCAAAAATTAAATAGAGTAAGGTAAAATTATCAATTTCAGTGATGAAATTTATCCAGTCACCTTAGACTTAGCTATAGTTAGGAACATTGGCATTTTATTGAGGATTAATCCCACATCTGCAAAATGTGAATACCGTCCGCACCCCATGTCAGGATGGTTTTGCAGTAGGTAATCTTATACTCTTTCATCTGATTTTCCTACGTCAGAGAAGTAATTTGTAACACCATTGAGTAAAGTTACAGAAAGTAACTGATTATAAAAACAATAATGGAAATCAAGTCTATAATCTCAGCCTTTTTTTGCATCAAATAATTTTTCTAGGAATTCAAACTCAGTCTATAGAAATTTGGAAAGTTCTAATGTAAGTTGAAGACAAAAGACTTTAGTGGGTCTTTTAATATGTTTGTTCTTAACACCAGCATATGAGGGGCTGATTTGTCTACATCCAACTGAGTTCTGCAATCCTCTTTTTATTCCAGTCATCCTACTAGGTATAAAGTGGTATTTCCTTAGGTCTGGATTTGCATTTCCCTAATGGTTAATGATGCATCTTCTGTGTTTACTGACCATTTTATACATTCCTTGGAGAAACGTTTACTCAGATTCCTTGTCCAATTTTTAAATTGGATCATGTGTCTTTTACAATTGAATTGTAGCATTCTTCCCAACTTCCTTTTAATACATTTCTTTTTGGCTAAACACAGCCAGTCAATTGCTTGCAAACAAGAATCCTAACAGAAACACACAGCCTTTCCTCTTCATTATAATTTCTATTCAGTTGTCAAGGAAACCATGTGAGAAAATTCTGAAGTTCTCTTAGTGTTGTGGAAAACAGAAGAGAGGGAAGATGTCTCCAAGAGCAGAAACTTTTATGGGCCCCATATGCAGAAAATGAAACATTTTGGAAGCCCCATGATTTACTACTTTTCATAAAAAAATCAATATAGGCTGAAACCTGTATGCATTTCTTCAATTTCAACTGTCTAAGTCAAACTGAATTTCCCTTAAAATTCCTGTATTTTAACACAATGCCTTTAAAAGTTTGCTTTGTGCTAAGATTCAAAAATCAACGTTTACTGAATGTGTAAACTTCTAACATGCATGAATTAGTGGATTAAGAAAAGTAGAAGTAATTGGAAATATTTGTTGTGAAAAAACTTGAGCTCAGGAGGGATACACACAAGGCTTTGTAGGTAGTGATAAATGCTTAGCTGAGGCTGGAGATGGTAGAGACTGTGGGTGTGAGTGATAGCATTGGTCCATGAGGCTCTGCAAAGGTCTACAGCAGCTTAAGCCAGGCCTGCTGCAGAAGCTTCACAGAGACAGCCTTAGGGAGGAGGGACAGGTGGACAAGAAGAGAGGTCAGGTAATGAACTGCCACTGGTTCTAAATTGGACAGGGAAAGAAACAAAGCCACTGGGGAGCTGATGGAGAAGGCAAAGACAAACAGAGGGTTGTAGCTCTCAAACTGAAGACAGTGTAGAGCACAAGGAAATGAATAAATTGAAATCTCATCATGCAAGAGAATGAAAAATGAATTGGGGAAGGAGACATCAAATTTTTAGAGCCTAGAATAGGCTGGTTAAGCAAAACTACTCTATTGTTGAAAGCAGCTAAGAAGCGGGGAAAAACTCATAAAACTGTTCTCAAATTTGCAAGATTTTCATTAAAGAATTTGTACTAAAAGCTAAGGGGCCAGCTGGATCTGATTTGCACCGATAAGTCAGTAATCATAAGGATGACAATTTTCTGAAGATACTGAGGTCTTCACTTCCTTCATTGATTCTGTAGGAAGACAGTTTCATTATATTGCTCAAGTCATATTTCTTGAACTTCTCATGGTTCATTTCACCTTTTAAAGACAGGGATAAATGACTAAAAAGCAAGCTGACATCAAGGATGAGTTCATGAAGCCAAGTTTCAGGGTTATGGCTATGCTCGGTATCAGCCTCGCATGTTCACATGTGCAGCCTCTAACCTCTTTCTCAGTCTAGCACACTACCGCAATTGCTCTAAGTTATCAATGACAATAGGTTTTCTGTATCTCTCTGCTGAGTTGTTCACTGTTGATGATTATTTTTCCATACACACTCTACTGAGCTGATGTCTGACACCCCACAATCCCCTCATTTTCCTTATATGGCTCTGGATCTTCCTTCTATATTTTCTCTGAATATTTCCTTTTTTCCCCAATAACTCCTTTAATGCTAGTATTCCCCAAGATTTCATTCATTTTCAGGCAATTGATATTCTCACTCTACATATTTTGGCTATTTTTATCTACTACCTTGATTTCAACTGGAAAGTATAAACTGGAAAAATAATCTGCCCCTAGAACTACTTGTTCCCTTAGTTTGACTCACGTATCCCCAATTGATTGCTATATATATACCCCAATACCACTCTAACTCTGGATGTCAACATGCACTAAATTAACTTCTCAACCTCTTTGCTAACAATGATTCCTAATCCTGTATTTTCTTTCTTCATGATTTTCATTATCTACCTTAGTCATTCAAGAGACATGGGAATCATTTTCGATACTTCCTCTCCCAATTTTACTTCATAATTATCTTTTGACATTTTATTAGCATATATTTATTGTACAAAGTGGTCTCATGTGGTATTTCCATACATTCATATAACATACTTTGATCAAATCCTCCCTCCCCCCTTTAAAACAATTTTTACCAGGTTTCATTATTCTATTTTCATACATGCATATAAAGTACTTCTATCATATTCACTTCCCCTTTATCCCTCTCCTTCTGGGTTCCCTCCCACTCCCATTGGTTCCCACCCTCAAACAGTTCCCCATTTTACACTCCTGTCATTCAC